GTTCATTTGAAATAACTTCTAATAAGAGCATAAGTTTCAAACCATTTTGAAAATCTTCTTCAATATTTTCAATTGATGTACCAACTTTACGTAAATGTGAATTACACCAAGCAGTAAATGTCTAAAAACAATAAAAAAAAAAAAAATAACTAAATAATAAGAAATAATTAATAAAATCAATGACTTTTTTTTGTTGTCGTTCCCATGCTGGATCAAGTACAGCTTCTCGTTCCCATTCTTCTTCTGGAACCATATAATCATCAACAAAATTTTGTTGTGGATATCCTCCTCCACCATATGATTGTTGATAAGATACACCATTATGCCCATTTGTTTCTTGATAATAATATGCACTCATCGTTTTTTTTTATTTTTGATTATATTTCTTATATATATATATATAAACTTATTTAAACGATAAAACTAGTGAAGGAGTACATCTACAATAAAAATTTATTCATGTTTCTGCATTATATTGTGACAGTCATTTAATATTCTGTCTATATCTACGTGCCTATTTTATGAAATAAAATATCAGACATAGAAATCGACAAACGGTTAACAGAACAAAAAGAAAAAGAAAAAGAAAAAGAGGACAGGTGGGAAGTTGCCTGAAGTGTGCGCACATACATCTACATATTGTATAGAATGTATGCGTATATATTATTTAGTTATAGTAGGAGTAGTTGAACATCGTATTTACATGTTTTAATAGTTTTGTTCATTCGAGCGAACGGACAAATGATTGACATAAATTGATGTTCTTCTTTCTCCAGAAAAAAAAGAAAGAAAAAAATCTCTAAGCTCTTTGAAAATAAGTGTTAGAGAGGCGTATTCATGATAATCAAGTTAAATAGGTTAATATATCAAATGAAACATACAAAGCTAATTTGATTGACCGGTAACAAACATGAAGTAGCAGTTGTAGTTGTTTTTCTTTTCTTATTTCTGTCCATCTATGTATTTGATCAATGCCATGAATAACACAACAATAAACGACGATAAATAATTCTTATAATAAAAAAAAAACGAATAAGTCTACAACTAATATTCTTATGACTTGTTGATTTTTCTCAATATTTCTGATTGAAGCAGAAGAAAAAAGAAAAGACAAAATAAATTTAATATGTAGAAAAAAAACACAATAAAGAAAAAATATAATGAAGAATTTTTTTTCTCTAATAATAAATGAGATAACAATAGTTAGAACAACCTATTTTCAGCCCTTGTTATATCGTGTATTTGTTATTAACGAACAACTCGTTTACGAATGGGACAGAGAAGAAACAAGAGAAAGAGTAACAAACCAATCGACAACAAATCTCTTCCAAGAAAAAATAGGAAGAGAGAGGAGTTAAGATGATCTTTGGTACTGACAGATGTTCGATCTATATGTGTACTTAGACTAGTAAGACGCGTCGTCGTAATGCAAAGCTTCCCTCCTTTTCGACGGCTACGATAGACTTGTATACCTATATGTCTAGATGTCTGCTCATGTTATAATCTTTTCCTTCACTCGTCGCGTTGTTCTCTTTCTCTTCTTATTTTCTTACGAGGTTTCCTGTAGTACATATATGCATACACACAACATCATTAGGAGAATAAGATCGATGCATCAAGGAAGAGACATAGAGAAAGCAAAAAATAACTTTGTATAAAACGCGCCACAATGATATATCGTCCATATATACAGAGAAGAGGTAAACGATCTCTATTTGAAGATTCTTCCTGCCCCTCTCTCTCTCTCTCTCTCGTTCTCTATCTTTTGTTCGTTTGTAGCAATACAATATTTTATCATTATCGTTTTTTTCTTCTTCCCTCCTTCCTTTGTCACAAACAGGACAAGTGACGAAACCAAATAGATAATCAATGATAAATTAGTAAAATTCTACTATAGAAAAAAGATATATTAATCTTTGTGAATAAATTAGGAATAGATTAATCAATCAAATCATAAAGAGAAAAAAAAATAAATGAAATAAAATAGAAATAAAGAAATGTCTTTTGTCATCTAATATATGAAAAGAAACATGATGATGTTTTCGTTTCTTAAACAACAATCGACAAACAGTAACAGGTCATTCTACTAGCCGTCATCAATTGATCGATTGGTTTGTTTGTTTGTTAAAACAGAGGTGGAGCCATTTTATGATTGGCATTTTTACAAACCATTCTTTTTTAAAGTACAATTCTTGTCTGTCTGTCAGTCATTTGTTTGGAAAAACAATCGAGACATATTCTTATGTTTTATTGTATGAAATCAAATTCTTATTTTAGAACAAATAAGGAAAAATCATCTTCAAATAGTAGAATAACCAACAACTAACACAATACATAGTTTAATCGAATATGAATTTGATTTTTTTTTTGTTCTATTGTAATGTGTGTTTGTTCTTTGTTTTCAATACTAGAAACAAAAGAAAAATGAAGATAGAAAATTTTATTATGTTTTAGTATAAGTCATAGTATGCATTCTCGTGCTTATTTATTGATAAAACGTGATCTATACTTACTTGATAATAATCCAGTGGAGGGCATCGATATCGAGCCAATAGTTGATGATAATTTTTTTGATTTAACATTATTTCTTCGTCCAGTAAAAAGTTCAGAATGGCATGGTTCTATGTTTCGAATATTTTGTTCATTTTATGATACATTTAATGTTCAACCACCGATACTTCAATTTGATCCAATGCATATTCCATATCATCCAAATGTTGATCCAATAACAGGTCGAGTTAGTTTATCAACAAGTGAAAAATGGAGTTCACGCTTTACATTAAGATCATTATTTGATGAATTAGCTAATGCATTTATTACACCAAATCAAAAAACTGTCATCAATTCTGATGCAATGCGTATGCTTAAATATCGTCCAACAGATTATCAAGCTATAATTCATGATTCTATTGTAAAAAGTCAACAATTAATGGATTTAATTAATGAAGAAAAAACAAATCCTAATCAAAAACAAACTATTTTATCTAAAGGAAAAGATGGTAAAAAAAAAAATTTTACAGAACATAAATATCATTTTATTCTGTTCTTTATAGCTAATCGTGCACGTTTACGTACACCAGGTATTGGTACACGACGACAACGTAATAATTTATCATTAAATCAACGAATATCATTTGAAGATTATCTTAATACATGGAAAGGTATGGCAACATCAAAAGCAAATCAAAATGAAGAAAATCCTTTACTTAATTATTTAAGTTTACAACCAAAATTACAAGCTCAACATCTTGCTTTAAATCCAGATGAACTTGGTATGATTCAATATGATTATAAAGTTATAGTTTTCTTCTATTTTTAGCTCGACAACTTGATGATCGAGCACTTCAATTTGAAAGACTTAAATATGGTAAACTAACAAATGATGAAAGTGGACGTAAACTTGCTCAAATTTCACAAATGAGTTTAGGTGAACCTAATCAACGAGCACTTGTTGTTACTGAAGCTAATAGTCGTGTTGATATAACAACAAATTATGAAAATAATATTCGACAAATACAAGAACATCATCCTATAAAAAATGATGAAGTTGATGAACTTATTGTATGGACACAATGTCTACCCGATACAGATGAAACTGTTGAAGAGAATTAATAATATTTTTATATTGATTTTTTTTTTTAATATTTTGACATCGAATCTCATCACAATTTTTTTTTCTTTAAAAATAAAAATAAAACATATTTTTTCTTTTTTTTTTTTTAAATAAAAAATTTTGTAGATATATTTTTGAAAAAAAAAAGACATTGATCGACAGTATGGCAACAAATGATGTTTCAGCATCACAAATAAATAATAATAATTTATCAAATAATCAAAATCATGTAAGATTAATACTTTTGCTTGAGACTGACTCAAACGGAAGTGATTTTTGTTTATTGAAATAATCATAAAAATTAATTTTTTCTAAAAAGATTTCAAGACGATTTGACTCTATAGAATTAGACAATAAAGTTTCTGATTTCACTCGACAAACATATTCAATTTCTTTGCATTTTATTGGCTGCCGTCGCTGAGCAGATATGTTGTTCGACACGTATCCACAAGGAGCTGTTTGCAAAACTTGAGTACCATCAGCCATGGAATAACCCTGAAGAAACTACTAATGGATATTTCTCTCGAATTACTCCTTTGATAGCATGCTGACTACATTGTAACATGCATCTGTTATTGTGACTAATTAGTGTGTCTAAGAAGCTCTAGCAATTGAGAACAAGAACTCTAGATTAAGCCAGCCTTCTGTGTAATGGTAAGGCGAATGTTCGCGTCAGTATTAGAGAGGAATGGATGTAAATTCAATAACTCAACAATAGTAACAGTTAGCGATCTGTAGTTTTGAGAAATTGAAAAAAGGAGAACTTCGAACGTCTTTTCGTCTAATACTAAATAAAACAAAATTATTTAAAAAGTCATCATCTTTTCATGTATTTTTTAAAAAAATTTTCGCGAAGATGATGAACAATCAGAATAATTGAACAAAAGACACTCGAAGTTCTTCTCTTTCGATTGTTGAAAACCGAAGATAGATAACTGCAGCCACTGTCGAATTACTGAGGTTATACTCATCCTTTTGTTATTCTGGTGTAAACATTAATCCTAGTTGTATGGAAGATATTAGCCTATTGAATCTTCCGTTAGGTAGCTGAAATGCAAAGTACTCTTTCTTCTTTCTTTTACATGTCAACACTTTGCTAGATGAAAATAACTGATAATTGACATTCTTTTTTTCTTGCTGACATCTTTGTCTACATCCAAGAAGTGCTAATAACCGATGAATGACAAAGAAAAGTAATTAGCGAACACTCTCATTCAAGTTCTAGATAGCCTAGAATTTCAAAAAAGCTAATGATAATTTTGAAATTTCTATTACTTCATTTCGGAATATGACTAACTCGTACTTTAATGCTAACTTTTAATTGAATTTACCGTATATTTTTTGAATGTAGAATATAAACAACATTCTTTTGTATGCCGAATCAAAAATGACACGTCAACAAGCCATACATGAAATAACTGATATTGTTCTACGTTCTAATATGAAACCACGATTAGTTAATTATATTTTACAATTATTAAAAAGACTTTTACCAACTGATAATACATTACCAAATACAATTGATGAACTTTTTCGTTCAATGATGTCATGTAAATATAAAATAATAAAATCATTGATTTTTTTAAAATGATATAATTTATTTTTTTTTATAGCAGAGAACGATTGGCGTTTGACACAATATTTTATAAGGCATAAACAATGTCCATCATTTTTATCACGATCATCTAATACACACAATGAAAATTTCAATAGATCAAGCAATCTTGATAATTCATTATCGACACAAGAACAACAAGATGAATACAATATTTCAATACAAGCCTCATCTGTATTTTTACCTTTGAATAATGATAACGAGTCATCATCATCATCATCATCATCATCATCATCATCATCTTCATCATCTTCATCATCTTCATCATCATCATCTTCATCATCATCATCAAGTTCCGATGATGAAAATCCTTATGAAGGTCTACAAGAATATTTACGACCAATTACTGAAATAGCAAGAAGTAATAGAGATTTTCCAAGTTTTAATCAATTAAGTATTTCAATCTTAGATTTTAATCTAAACTATGCAACAACATTACCAATTAATATCAATCAACGGCCACAATTATCATCTAGTTCAATTAATTCATCAAATATATTTGATGAATTTAATCGACTAACAAATGAAGTTTGTACCAAAAACAAAAGAAAATCTTCATACTTCTATCATTCATCTATTTTATATAGACTACATCGACAATATCTACACATGAACCTGATTTAATTAATACAACAAGAATGTTTGATGATAGTGATGATGAAACATCATGTTTTTCTATATCGAATGATAATAAAAAATTATGTTGTTTTGTAATTAAATTAATTTTTAACTCGAAAAAGAATTTATTTATTTGTTTTGTTTCATTAATTATAGGAAATAAATGGATGTGATCTACTTAATGGTGGTAAACAACGTCAATATTATTGAATATAAATTAGTGATATTGTTAGGTTTAATGTAAAACTTAAGATTTAATATTTTGTTCGTTTTTTTTTCTTTCTCTTTTCTTTCTAAAGTATGTAACTATGGTTTTTGATAGATTGAATAATAAATAAAGAATGTCAATAAACAGAAGGAGGCTGTTACTGAAACAACAATCGATATCAATGGTAGCAACAAAGGCAAAAGACTGCAAAAAAATGTGCTTCATGAAAGCATCATGACACAACAAAATCTTATCAGATAAAAATTCTATAAATAAGTCGATGATTGTCATATATATATATAGTCATATAAAGCTTTTCATATTAGTATCTTTTATTTACAACAGCTGGATATCTTTGATTCAAATATTTCAGTAAGAAGATATTAAAGATCTTGGTAGGAACTCTGATTTTTCTTTTACTATACTTGATTTTCACTACAGAAAGTAAGAGACGTTGGAAAACGATTAAAAATTGTTATATCTTACTTGTTGTTATAATTTTATTGTATTTGAAAACTATATATGATCTGTGATCAGGAATGGCTTCCTCCGCGTACAATCTTGAAAAATTTTCGTTTTTCACCAGGAGATTTCCAGAATCTAATGGATAGTTTTGCTCACCGGTTTCCAAAAAAACGGCTTCACATTCTCCTCATCAAAACTCAGTTAATTTTAGTAAAAATTATCTAATCTATTTCTTGAGTCATTCACCCTACCCCTTACAATCCTCGAGACCACTACACACCCCCCTGTGTATGATACGAAATTTTTTTTCGTTATCATGACTTTCACTTCTAGAGTTTAGTAAGTTCAGATAAAGAGGAAAATTAGAAGAGCCGTTCTTTTATTATTATTATTCATATGACTTATTTAGTAGTTTCACTTATATATAATCGCTAATATCTATAAAAAGAATTTAGTTAGTAATTATTACTGAAAAATCTATTCTTATCAAATATATTTATTTATTAGAGGTTTGCATTAAAGATTTATGCCTATCATTCAAATAAATGTATAGTATTGGTACGGCATCTAGAACATATTTATTCATTCACTAACAGAAATAAACTAATCATTGTTCTTCTTTTTTGTGTTCTGTTTCTACACATGAAGTGTAGTGATCTTGATTTATTGGGCGTGTAGCTATGAGATCATTTTATCATACCCTTGTGGTAGAAAAGGTGGCTTAAAATCCTGTAAGTTGATGTTAAATAATAGATAAAAAACGCACTAAATGACCTCTTTCAATTCATGAGAATAAATTATTCTGTCAATAGTGTTACTGGGTAAAATGTTTTTCTGTAAATTAAAACTTTGTAATTCCAGAAAATTGTTATTGTTCTTTTTCAAATAAGTAATTTCAATCGTTGTGAGTTTTTTTATCATAGAATTTATGATATAAGAGTACTCAAAAGTTCTTTTGATATCCGTTTAATAGATGTTCCACAATGAATATATGAAAACATTAAATTTGGTGTTCTTCATTATCAAAAATTGTTCCATTTTCTAGTATTATTATGTCAGCTTTACTATCAACATAATACATAATAAAATACAGTGGAATACCCGCTAACGAATAAATTCAAAATTTTGAACTTTTGAAAAAAATTTATCATAATTTTATTTTTAGCTCCAGATGTTTGTATTGACAGGGTTATCTATTCGATATTCCATATGTTCTTCATTATTTCAATTTCAGAAATATTATTCTACTTCAAAAAGAATGGATACAATGAAATCAATTCTGACAACCATTACAGGAAGTGATCAAGATCTCAATCCTCCTGCAACATCCAATGAACAAATTCGTCATCAATTATGTAAAATTAATGATTTACAAAATGGACAAATGAAAGAATTTGAAGTAAAAACATCAATCATTAATGCAAGTGTTTTACTTATCAAGCAAGATGATAAATTTCATGTTTATTCAAGTAAATGTTGTCATTATAAATTACCATTAGCAAAAGGTCTGAATTGAATTTCTCTGTTTTAAATATAATTTCTAATTGAAAATAATTATAAATAGGTGTTTTAATTAATAATCGTCTTCGTTGTTTTGCACATGGTGCATGCTTCCGTGTTGATACTGGTGATATTGAAGATCATCCTGGTTATGGTCATTTACAAAGTATGTTTATATTGATTTTCTTTTTTTTTGTATATGAAGTCCTATATATGTTTTTTTTTTTTGTATCAATAGAATATAATGTTGAAATTGTTGATGATCAAGTTATTTTGGTTGCACGTAAACAAGATCTTGAAAAACTCGAACGTTCAAAAATACCTGATGATCTTGTAGTAGAATCTACACCAGTTGTCGCTATTATTGGTGCTGGAGCTGGTATATATTTTCTAAGAATATTTTGAAAAAAATGAAAACTTTTAAGTATTAGAAATAAGATTTTTAGATTTTTTTTTGAAGGGAAATTGTAGAGTCACGGTAAAGGAACAAATATTTGACATTATGACTTTGAACATCGTGTAAAACTTCTCTAATAATTTGTAACTATGATAAGGAATAACAATACATTTAATCGAAGAAAAGAGTATTATCTATCTATCAAGAGTAAACATGATCAAATGACATCGATACTTTTGATTTAATTGTAGTTCATGCTATGTGTATTTTTTGAATTCTCGGATTTGTCTTATGTATTTTATAGTATTGTCTATATTCTATGAGTCAACATCAAATCGCACTATTTGTTGTGATGTTATTTGAATAAACAAACACTTAACATAGGAAATGGAAAACGCCGCAGAGAAGACATAGGCTTTTATTCAGAGAGAACTAACATATTTTAGGACTTCGATGAAAACTAATGTTAACTTTCTAGTTCTATCATTGTTATCTAACGAGAGAAGGTTTCGAAGTATGACTGGCCAATGGAATTGAGATTTTGCTCAAAAGTAGATTTCGATGAGACTGGAGGATCCCTTTCACAAGAGAGTCTGCCAGAGCGAGGCAAATGATGTTTCAAAATCCAGTTCTTGTCCAGAGTTCGTGTGAAGCTGTAAAAAATTGTTGGAAATTCGAACTTTTTCAGAGAGAGAGTCCCCATTAATCGAGAAACCTCGCCTTCATGTGTTGTCCTCCTCAAGTTATAACAAGTTTACTGAACTTTTTTTAAATCTTTGACAAGACATCTCTGCGAAACTTAAATTACGAAATTTTCGATTGAAATTTCGTCTATAAATATGCCTTGTGAGTCTTAGAATCCCATGAAAATTTCAAACCAAAAGAACGTGCTACTCTTGACATACTAAATATCTAAAAGCAATCAAATTGTCACAAGGGCATGCAAGAAAGTACAGTATTTTCAAGATTCGATATCTCAATAGCAACATATTCATTTCCAATAAAATTTTCAAAGCATTCTAAGTTCCATGAAATCACCTATGGGCAAAATATCAGTTCGATTGGTGAGTCAAACTTGAGGATCTTACCTCGTACGACTAGTAAAGGATGTTTTACATTTTAGCTTTACTTTTCTAATACTTTTGAAAAAATTCCTTCAAGATTATACTCAAGAAATGTCCTGTCATATATTTTTAATAATAGATTTTTTTTTCTTTTCTACCATTCCAGGTGGTTTTACATGTGCTGATACGCTTCGTCAAAATGGTTTTCGTGGTCGTATACTTCTATTTACACGCGAAGGAACATTGCCTTACGATCGTGTATGTCAATTGACCTTTAAAAAAAGAAACAAATACTAAAAACGATTTAATTTATATATATGTCTAGGTTCAATTATCAAAACAACCATTAAAAAAACCACAAGATTTACTTTTACGTGATCATCCATATTTTAAAAAGGCGAAAATTGATTTGATGCTTGATACTAATGTTACTAACATTAATTGGTCTTCAAAAAATTTAACATATCAAACATTAGGTAAACAAATGAAATCTGAACAATATGATTATTTAGTATTAGCAACTGGTTTACGTTCACGACGATTACCATCATCAATACCTGGTGGTGATCTTCGAAGTGTATTTTATTTAAGAACAATGGAAGATGCTAATAATCTTGTTAGTATGTATTCATAGAAAATACAAAAAGAAAAAGAATAGTTATTTTTTTGTTTTTGATCTTTTTTTGTTTGATTAGATAAAGTAAAATCACATGAAACAAAAAATATTGTTATTATTGGTGATTCATTTATTGCATTAGAACTATGTGGATGGTTAACAACAGGTTTAGCTGGTCCTAATGGCAAGCCTGAAGATGCTGAAAAGAAAAATGTTTCAGTTGTTATGCTTTTAAAAGCTCCTATGATTCGTATGAAAGAAATAAAAGTCGTAATGTTTGAAATAAAGATAAATCTATTCTTATATTTCAGGTCTTTTTGGTGAAAAAATTGCTCTAGCTTTACAAAAAATTCATGAAAATAATGGAGCAAAATTTTATCCTGAAGCAAATGTTACAGAATTAACGGTTAGTTGTTGTTTTGTTTTATGTTTATCTCATTTTTAATGATATTGATTTATTTAATATTTAGGGTGCAAATAATATTGTTAAATTCGTACAATTAGCAACAGGTGAATCAATTCCATGTGATATGGTTATTGTAGCTATTGGTAGTGAAACATGTACTGAATTATATAAAGATTCACCTATTGTAATGACTGATGATCAATTTATTAGAGTTAATGATCATCTTGAAACATCTGTTGATCATGTTTTAGCTGTCGGAGATATTACTAAGCATCCATTGAAAATATTTAATTTAGATGAAGTTAATTGTCAACATTGGCAAATGGCTTGTTCAGGTGGTCATCAAGCTGGTAAGAACTGACATATACATATTAAATGATAGAAAAAAACAGAATTACAGTTTATTCCCTGGGGCTAATTCAGTAGAATTGGTATTGAAACAACAATATGGATAGTTTATGCAGGTGTTGATTATGATACTGACATGGATAAATTGAGACAAAGTCATTTTATTGTGGAAATAAAAAATGATCCAGTAGTCTTGAATGACATAA